GCAAAATAACTAACAAGATTTAAGTTATAGTTACGGAGGTTACGCAGGTATTCTGCCTCATCTGGATTCACGAGAGGACCTGCATTAATCTACATCGTCAATCCATATAAGTATACGACCATGAATTTGGCTGATTTTATTATGTTGCAGACGTAAAAAGGGCATTTAAATACCCATTGTATACGACCCTGTTAACCCTCGATCAACTGTAACCATGACAAGTTTATTTACAAGCAATCAAAAACGATCATTCAGCTATTTTCTGTAACGATTTGTTTTCAAGTATGTTGAGGATTAATTGAAGTGGGTTGGTCATGATCAGACAGCTCATTCGCCATTCAAGAGAGGAGAATAGAAGACAAGATAAAGACAAAAATATTGGCTTGAAAATCCCTAACCATATTTTCTAATGTTAGATTAAGTCGGTTGATTCTTTAAATATTTACTAAGACTTAATTACATCAGATAGAGCCTGAAAGCAGTCGTATATGTAAAGTATGGCGCTAGCGAATTGTAGTATTTGTACACGGCAACAATTCATTTGTACATTATTCAGCGCTTATTACAAATTCCAAGTAGAATACGTTCAGTTATTTTAGTGGCGGAATGTTTATTGTACGTATTATTGTATTGATCACTTTAATTACTGTACCTTAATCACTGCAGAGGTTATCCACAGCTTCGTGCATTTGCTTAAACGCAACAGTTTTCATAATGTTTTGCTCTTGGTTCGGGTTTCGGTTGTTCACAAACTGTTATCAAATATAGACACAGCTATCAGCTGTCTTTTGTACTATCGTATGTTATAATTACTTTTTATGTTACCGTTACAGGAAGCCTTCTTATTTTCATACTTGAAAGACGCGTTTAAACGCTCCAGACACCTCACAAGTTGAGGTTTGTAACTGGATTTTGTGCATAATTCAATAAAGAACCGCTATTGTAGACAAATCGTTATTTTGGAAGTTTGTTTTCGCGCGTATCACAATCAAATGAACTAGACGTTTCGATAGATCTGTAGGGGTAAATAAATCCCCAAAATAAATAGCTCTGTAAGTTTTCGACATTGGATGCTGACCACATTAATTTTAATGAACTCACTTAGCTGAAGGCGCTCGGTCATGCACCCGCACCAGATCACGTGTGAGAACGCCGTGCTCAACATCTATTACAATCGCTAGCCAGACTAGATCAGATAATTTCGATATATTGACAGTCGTCAAATACAACTTCTGATCTCCTCGATTCTGTCTTTTGATTTCTCTTGGTGGGTACGAGTTATATTAGAAGGTGTTACTGGTAAAAGCATTGTCAAACATTGAATTTTTGTGGCATCATCAGATCTAACACCATGGTTTGTTATTGTACAATGCAGATCACAAAACTACAAGGCCACAAAGCTATTACGAGTGAAAGTACGAATCAGTGTGGGTGACAGCGCATGAAATTGAGTGAATGGAAACGATTAAGGATGTATATATATATATATATATATATATATATATATATCGGTAAGCAAATGAGTCGTCGAGCGATTTAAGAGACCAACATTTAAGCTAGTGAAAGCATGGGTAAAGACTGTAACATATAATCAAGCATACACACTTGTAGGGCCAGTGAAATGTCACTGAATTCTAGCAAAAACATCCGGCAGTTGGGTCATTGATTATCGAACAACACATCGATCCTCGTCAAGGTCAAGGACAACCGACGCGCATCAGTTAATCGTACGCCATGGACTGGCCCATGCAGCAGTGGTCTTACTTTTGCTTGTATCTACTTTAACTAATATATTTTTATAATGACTTCTTCTGTGTTGTACAGTCTTCAAAGTATCTACAGTACCTTGATACGTCAATGGGGTAGTCCATGTAAGGTGCTGACCACGAGTTGTGACTTCGACGTTAGCTGGTTCGTCACACCATTCCCGTCTAACTCGAGCTGGCCTCCAGTCATACGACATAGATCGTCTGCGTTGGTGATCTACACACTCAACACATGTGATAATAATAATACAAAAGTACAGACATATTGTTACTGTCTGGATGACACTGTTTATTGAATAATCTAGCTTATGGCTTTAGAAAACCAAATGTATACAGACTCAAGTTTAGGTGCTGAACTATGTGTTCATGGAGCACCACTTTACCTAAAGTAGACAATTCTGGAAATTCTTAGTCAGACGACAGAACTGACAACTTGTAATTGTTATTCAAACTTTTACGTTGTAGTGACCTACTTTTACCGAGAGAACGCGATTGATTTAATGGAAACAATCATTATTATAACCGATTGTACTAGTGATTGTTTTACTGTGCTCGTTTGTTTAACTGTGCTAACGACAGTCATTTTACTATTCCATTATCTTTTGATTGTGCCCTTGCACGAGTTTGGTTACGCTCAGTAACCACACTTGTACTCCTTTGGCACGATCTCGGTATATTTTCGATACCACGAGATTGCCAACAAACACATCTCGACTACAGCCATCAACTGCCTTCTGATATTTGGCTTACGGGGAATTTTATCGGTTAACTGGCACGTATTCTTCTTGTAGTGGTGTTCATAGTCATTATCGAAATTTATCAAAGGGACTAATTGTTTTAAATTGCATTTTAATAAATTTACAAATATTACATCTCAGGACGAATAAAAATTCATCCAAATGACACTGGAAAATTCTTTTTTTATCATCGCTGTGCTTCACTCTCTCCAGTTATAAAGTTTCTAGAAGTAAAAACCAATGATCTAAACAATTTCGGCCACTATTCAAACCGACATATCGATTACTGGATGATAGAGATTTTAAGGATTACTGAAAATGGAAATATAATCTGGTATATTGGAAAATATGTCATACATGTGAATGGAGTCTTCGTTTATTAAACAATAATCCTGTTTATCAGTTTTGTTGGCCTTCGTCCTTGACACCGATTTCACCAGTTTCACACTAATAGCTGGAAGCTCTTGTTCAAGCATCTGCACCAGGTCACATTCGGGTGAATTTATCCGCAACGCAACCATGTAAACCTAATGTATCGCACAGTGTAATAATGGTCATCTGTGCGTTCAAGTAACCACAGATTTTGTCATTTCATAAAAAACTTTTAATTAAATAACCAGATTATGTTGTTAATTTTGCTCTGTTTTTAATTTTTATTCGCCACGTCGGACTGCATTACACTGTACGTTCATTGCACGCTGGAATGATATCTCAAGTCATAGTGAGTTCAATCACATAGTTGATTGTTTCTAGATAGATCGTCAGTGCATAATGTTACTGGAGAAAGGTTTGTTGTACTGTAAACTATGTTTTTATGAACAACTGACTGTTGTCTTCAGTTTGAAAGCAATATATATCCTTTGTCTTGAAGATGGCACGGGTATTCAGTGTTTGACAATGCTTTTACCAGTAACACCTTCTAATATAACTCGTACCCACCAAGAGAAATCAAAAGACAGAATCGAGGAGATCAGAAGTTGTATTTGACGACTGTCAATATATCGAAATTATCTGATCTAGTCTGGCTAGCGATTGTAATAGATGTTGAGCACGGCGTTCTCACACGTGATCTGGTGCGGGTGCATGACCGAGCGCCTTCAGCTAAGTGAGTTCATTAAAATTAATGTGGTCAGCATCCAATGTCGAAAACTTACAGAGCTATTTATTTTGGGGATTTATTTACCGCTACAGTCTTCTGTTAGGTCAGTTCGACTGGCCTATATTTTGTGTTTTGGTTTTATCGGCCGAATTATGTCCATTTGACTAGTTTGAGCAACATGTCTGTGCAAATGAAACAATAATTATGACACTTGCTTAGTTTAGTATTCGTGGTTGTCGTATAATTCAGTTTAGTCGAAAGAATTATGGTATACTGAAGTATATTACTTGAAGCCTGTAAAAAACAGATTAGTTTAGTAAGTAGAGCTGCCTGTTTTTAATGAGTATACTGATTCAAATTAGTCTGATTGGAAATAGAAAAAAAGCCTTTGGTACTGTTCCTGTCATACATTATATGATAGCTTCGCACACCACGCGATGCATATATCTCTCAAAAATTAGTCAGTTTAGATTAAACACTTCTTAAGGCATCGAGCATCTTCTAAATGTCTTCAAACCGTCTTATTTTTGTTTCTTGTTTCGTCTACCTTTGGTGACCTCTATGAAGAAGGGGTGACGAACAACAGTGTTGCCGAGAGCTGTATGTCCGTGATCTTTTGAAGTGTGACTACTAAACGAAGTAGTAAGTATCTAGCCTGGATCAGCCCATCTAGATAGCTAGTTAATACTGCTTTCTTATAAAAGAAATAGAATTTCGCGACATGATTGATTTATTCAGATATGATGAAAGTGGATAGGTAAAAAGTAAATGGACGATCGAATGCTGGTAAAAATGGTTCCATTTATCAGTACGTGCTAGTCATCATTGACTTCGGTAAATATTTGAACGTCTATTTTTCAGTTCTTCAAAGTAGAAACGATTCATTTTATTGAATAATTTGGTTTGACCCAGTGATCTTTCAAAAGATCTATCGGTACATTGTAAATTATGCTGCTATCAGTCAATATAAGATATCTTCAAAGATTATTCAGATAGAGCGACCCAATCGTAGATAGTAATATTAATAGTTGTAATAGGCTATTTCGCTGCCGGCCGAGCTAGTCCAAGCGACTTCTCAGGAGTCCTTCAAGAGGCAACTTGACCTATTCTTAAGGACCAAGGACAGCATCACACTATGATTTACCAATTTCTTTTCCTCTTTTATTGTTAACATACCTAGGTTCCTGCTTGGAGGATTTGGTGATCCCCTGCTACTAGACACGGAAGCCTGTTAAGCGAAAGCTTCTTCTATTCCGTCCACAACCATTTGAACCATTTGAACCAATAAGTTGTAAAGTATACGTAGAGATATTCATAGGATAAATGAGTACAAGCCAAATCCAACATGTTAATACATTTCAAATTACACTCACATTGATTGTTAGCATTACTACCATCTCACTCTTTTCTAAAGGTAAAGAAAAATAATTTCACAAATAAATCAGCAACATTTATTTAAGTTTGAATGCCCGAGTTTGCCGGGTAGTTTGGGTTTTGTCGTTGCACATTTCACGTCGAGTGGTTCTTCCCGAGTGCTGTCTGTCTGATCTACGATGAGCAAAGCACACCAACCCGAGTTGAAAAAGTAAGTCGAGTTCGTTTTTGACTTACGGTCATCTCATTTTAGATACCTTGACAAGCGTCTAAGACGTAAGTTGTTTCTGTTATGTAAATGTGATTTTGATATTGATAACTACTATGGTATAGGTTTTAGATTAGTTAAGAAATTATGTGTGTTGATGTAATACACATAAGCTCAGAAACTTCAGAACTGCCAGATAAATAAGGCTACGCAGTTTGTTACTGGGTTGGCTGTCTGTATTGCCACTAACTACTCCAACCATTTTGTCCGTTCAGACGTAGTTACCCGTTCACTAAGCTTTGCCGCTTGGTGAAAACAGATCACTTTTGTGGTGAGACTAATTTGTGAACGAGCCAATCAGATATACGATAACAGGTCTTAAATCTTGGCACGAAGTCAATTCTTTTTGCTAGTGTTTTGGTATTATAGCTGATGTTAGTTCGTGATGAAAACAATAAATCTAATTCCTAACCCTGATTATCAACTGTAGCTACTAATCCTAATTCTTTACATAGACTTATAACCCTCATTTAGCCGTAGCATGTACGTGGGCATTCTCAAGGTCCATTTATCGTCGCTCAAATGTATATAAATCACACTCACAGGTCAAACTGTGGTACAATGGTTGCCTCACTTCTCAACAATTCTTTGCATCTGTTGGCACTTACACTACTTATTCTATAAGTAATTTGGTCATTGCAAAATAGAATTTTCACCCATGATTATTAGGTATTGGCTAGTTGTTGAGTCTAATGTTCATCCATTAATAGGACTTCGCTTTACATTGTTATGGAAAGTCATATAGTATTACTGCCCGTTTGAAACGTTACGCAATTATTTATTTTTTCAAATGACGTTCCGTGACCAGAATAAAAAGTGACGAATCTCTTTGACTAGACTGCAGGACGTCACAATGGGAAACTACATCACTTAAGGTTGTGAGTGGCTCAAATTCGTTAATTTTGTTATCACAACTGTCCAGCGTTATTCTTTTCGGCTTCCCTCTTCTTTTTGTTTGTTTGCCTTTTAATTACCTCTCCATGTTTGTTTGTGTCATTATTCTTGAAACTTCTATTTTGTTATGGCATTACTTATGTGAAACGCTTTGGTTTAGTTGTGAATTTAAATGTGACTAGTTTGTTTAGCAGCTAGGTATCACTCAATATGACCCACACTCCTGTTCAATAATACTATTCGGTTGCACAAAGCATAGTAAATGGAAGGATGCTTAAACATGAGACTTAGTGGCTGAGTCAAACCCTTTAATCGCTAAGCCACCGCTTTACCGTCCCATCGTAATGTCCAAATCTAGACCATCTAAAAGTCTGACTGCAGCGTTTCTCAATATCTATATAATTCGCGTGAAAAGTGGTTATTCGTCCGGAATATGTATGCACTACAAATACCCTGGCACAGCCGAGAGTAGGGAGAGTCCGCCCTTCTTCTCTAATTGCTGTCAAGGGAAGTCCTACTCACTGTCACCTCGTGGCGGGGGTATTGTTTACGAAATTGAGATGAAAAGCGAAACTCCGGAGCTTTAGCTGGGTCGGTGGATATGGAGAACCCATCTAGGGGAGTTGGAAAACCCTGACTCCAGGATCCTGAGGGATGAGTAGGCGTATGGTTCGATCGTTGGCCACTGGTTACCATGGGACTGCATCTCCTGACGTTGCTCCACTGCCTTGTGGATCAGTCCTTCAGGCCAGAAGCCTCTGGTGTGGCCCCCTAAGAATATCACCTGCTTCGGTCTGGACAACTGGGAAGTATCATAGCCCACACATGAATCAAGTGACTTGTGTATATGTGTTCGGTTCCTCTTTGTACTAATATTTGTGTTCAAATAAACAAATAACAATAAAGATCAATTTGTGAAGAGACAGAAAAACGAGAGTGAGCATAAGGAAAAAGACGAAAGTGAATAGGAATTATTGTATGCGAGTGAGACAATTATAATAATGGGATGACAAGTTCAGTTAGAGAAGTCCTATACAGCTTTCTATTCTTATCATTACATCATGTCATACACTGACAACCTCTAACTTTTCCGGACAATATGGAACTTGCTGCGATTATTTATTTTAACACATAGATATTGGTACAAGGAGGCACCAAATACATATGCGCCACACAAATCTCATTCGATATGTGTGAGGGCTGTGGTACTGCCCGGGTACCCAAACCGAAGCAGGTGGTTTTCTTAGGGGCCCACTCCTCGAGCCTTCGATTTGAAGATCTGACCCACAAGGCAGTGGAGCATCGTGAGGAGATACAGTCCCATGGAGGCCGGTGACCAACAACTGGTTCATACGCCATTTGTTCCCTTAGGATACTTGAGCCCATGTGCACCATTGGTTTGGGATCCGTTTAAAGCGCCGGACATTCGCTTTTCGTCCTCATTTTCGTGAACAACACCCCCGCCCCAAGAAGGCAATGAGTAGGACTTCCCTGGCAGAGGCTATATACGCGTGGCCATGTAAGAGCATTTCGAGGAGGGCGAACACACCCCACTCTCGGCCGTACCAGGGCATTTGGGGGCACCTGCTGCGATAATCGTAAGATATTAAAGCCATAAGTCAATGTTTCAGGATGGTGACACCAACTTAATTATCGTCGGTGTACCCTAACGCACGATTCCAAATCCCGTCATTACTAACATATTCTGATTGGATGTCAGCGATCATTTAGAGACAATAATGACCGAACATCCTCAACTCGAAGAGTCCATGTTTCACGAGCACGATTAGTCCGTAACTTGAGATCGTCTAGGTAGAACAGGATCTTTACCATAGGCGAACTTCTATAAAAGTCGAAAGATAAAATAATATACAAAATGGGAATAAAGGAGTAGACAAATGACGCAATGTAAACTAGAAAAGAGTACTAACAATTAGTTTTGAATGGGATTTGCGAGAATGAGAATTAAATCGTGTTTAGTTTTTCTTAAATTGGAGTCATCGTTCAGTTTGTGTTAGGGTTGGAATTTCGCTCGGTTAACCACACCGAAGTAGGTGGTTTTTTTGTGGGTCATTCGTAGAGCTTCTGACCGTGAGGCTGTGGAACAACATCAGGAGCTGCAGTCCCATGGTAGCCAGTGGCTAACAATAGGTTTATAGGCCATTTGTTCCACCAGGGGCCTAGAGCCTATGTGCACCATTGGTTTGGAACTAGGGTTTTCCACACACATCCCTAGGTGCATTTTCGTATCCACCGATTTGGTTAAAATACCTGGCACTCGATTTTCGTCCTTCTACCTTTGTAAACAAAACCATTGCCTCGAGAAGGCATTGAGTAGGACTTTCTCATCCTCGGTCTATAAGGTTCTTGAAAAACTGGATTACAAACAGCTATTATTGATCTACTAATGATGTACTCATCCAGCAGATACTTAAACACATTTTATACGGCTTATACCAATGTTCACCACTTTTGGCGTCTTCATAACATTGGTGTGATTATAAATGGCTAAGTTTACAATGGTATTTCCGCAACAAATCACGTTCCATGTATGTGGAATATACTTCAAGATGTTCAACTCCATAATCTATCATTCTTTGAATTCTTACAAGTGTTAGTGCCAAATTAATAATTATAAGAGCTAAAAATTCGTTAAATTTATGGTAGAAACCATCTGTAAGCTGATGATATCACCTTAAAAACTGGTTCTGTTTGTTTATGTACGTCTTATGCATGTCAATCCGATCAATCCCATACTAAGTATTGTCTTCTGACTGCGGATCGACTAGGAATTCAGCTTGTTATGTGGCGTTGAATATGGAAAAATATTTGTATTGGATTGGTACCTATGAACATATCATTATAAATAAGACCCGAGCATCAACATCCCCACCCATTTTGTGCTCGAAATACAAATCGGTCTACAAGCGTGATTCATCATTTCTCTTCACGATATTAGTTTATGGGACATTGAATCTACCCACGTACGATTGCCGTGATTGTTACCACCAACAGTTATAGTTATCATCCTACAGCGTTTTTTTTCCAAGTAATCACGCAAATTGACATTTTTATACTGACCACGTCAAATAATACTTGTAAAAAATTCCAACCAAATTTTAGTTAAATTTCATCATACTTCCGAAAATTCTCAAGTGCTTGTTTGCCACCGGTAAACCCTTCATTCGGATTGTGAGTATGCAAGCAAAATTAATTCGTTTAGTATAAATGGTCAATTATGTGAACACAGTGAGTGATCGTGTAGTCGTATGCGCTTTGCCTCTATCACTTCTTGAATGCAAAATCTCCCTCACTTGTTATTTATTTAAGTCAAACCCAACTTCACTAGATTTTAGAAGCAAACTAACAATATAGTCCCTTCTACACTCTTAAATGTTGATCATGATTTTGATACCGCTTAAGTGAGGCAGTAAGTACAATCAAGAAATATCCAAATACAGAGTATGAGAAATGGCTGACATCAATGATTTATTATCATCTGATCGTACAAAAACATTGTAAGAAGAAACCTAAATGTGAACTTGCATGGAACAAAACTCGTTAACCTCTAATTCATCTAACACAACAAATTGTGAGCATCTAAAATTATTGCTTATTCTTCTTGGAACTACTGTTTATGAAATTCAGTTTTATATATTGTTTTATGCTGTAAAAATCATATGAGAATATAACTCCTAAGTGCTTTCATGCATTTTCAGTATGTATTCTATGAGATCAAGCTCTTGTAACTTATATTAACGACGCTACTCGTCAACCTTTTAGAACTATAAATTTTGATATTATATTGAAAAGATTATCTGATTATATAGTATGTTAAATTAAATCAAAATATTAGCATCATAACTATCATCGTACTTATCCAGACAGACCTGTAGATATTAGCTATACTCATATGCATATTGTTCCACGTTGTGAATTTCAGAACTCTAATATTTTACAACTTTAGTCTGTTTCTACCACTTCAAGAACATCGAAATTGTTCACACCAACAAGAAATATTGGTGCATTTTTAAAGATAAAATTTCTAATTTGTTTTCTTTTCATAGTGAAGCTTAATGCAAATCGTGAAGTTGTCGGTATTCTGCGTGGTTTTGATGCTTTCATGAATATTGTTGTTAGTGATGCGTATGAAGTCACTAAAGATGGAAATCAGATCAAGATTGATATGGCCGTTGTCCGTGGCAACAGCATTAATATCGTGGAAGGCGTAGATCGCATCTAAATGTATATATGTATTCGTTTATTTCAATAAACCCTCTTCACTCTATATGGATCTTTGCATTTTATTTATTAGCTAGGTGTTCACTGTTCCATTTAAGGCGCTAACCTTATAAAATGTTGATAAATACATATTTTAATTTTCAAGTTATCTCGGTGTTAGTTAACAACAAATATTAGAGTCTGCTTATAATTCTGCGTATTCATTAATTATACATTAAGTGTACTGAAACTGGTTTGACTGGCTTCACTCATTGAGTTTCAGGGTCAAATCACACATCCTTACCTATTATGGTTTATGAAACCTGGTAGTATCACTAGTCCTAACACCAAAACCATAGCTCAAAGCGAAGCACAGAAACGCATATTTAGTTACCGATATAATGCAAGTCAGTCACATTAGAATCTATGCACTGTTTATTCTCATGTGACCTCTGTTAACTTAAATAGATGAGTCGATAGTTAGAACAACGCATAAGCGGACTATATTGTTTTTTAATTATATCGTCATTAGCATTTACTCTGGTATATAAGAACACAAGGGTATGTGAAAATATTAAACCGATCGAGATTATTCGGAAGTCAGTGATAACGAAGTAGATTGTGAAACTACATATAATAGGTAAAATCAATATTATTAATAAGAATAGTGAATAGCTGCCTATATCACGGCTTCCCAATTTTCCCTATCATCGAATCACGTAACTGATAATTCAGTCTACAGTTCCGGTCCATGTATACCCAGTGATAAATTGTTTATGAAGCCGATTAGGAAGTACTGATTAACAGCAAACAACAATACCGTTGTCGAATGAGTAAGGCTTTCATTTTTGGTAAAATGGAGCATTCATGCATAAATCTGGACGTGAGTAATTACAATCAAATAATAGGTAAATGACTTTATGGTATGTATTGCGTAGGTTATCCATCTGATAACGAGATTAAGACTTGGCTATCCGCTATATATATGATAAGAATGAATAACCTTACTGCTTTGTTATAATTTCAATCTAATTGATGGACGTTTTCCAGTAAGAAAACTTAAATATGGTATGGTATTTATAGGACCGAAACATGATAGTAAACTGTAAAATTCCTATTCGCTGATATCATGGATGGTATATATTGAATTCTAGACTATAAATGGAGATAAGTTACAGTTTTAATACATCACTACATCCCATATGAAGGTTATTCTGTTTTTTTAGCTGTTCACCTTTACTTCTCTACGCCTGTTACCCTTGTGGTGGATTATAGTCTGCTCACCAGCATTCCCCATTCAACTCTACCCTAGACAGTTCTTTCCAATAGCTATTCATCCTTTTCATATCTGCCTCCAATTCTCGGTGCAGTGTGTTATTCGGCCTTCCACTTTTCCGTTCCCCTTCAAGATCCCAAGTTACAGTTTGTCTCGTGATGCAGTCTTATGATTTTTTCAATGTATGCCCTATCCATTTCCAACATCATTTCCTAATTTTCTCTTCAGTTGGAAGCTCGTTTTTTCTCTTTCATAGTAGACTGTTGCTGATGGTATCTGGCCAATGGATGTTGAGTATCTTGCGTAGACAACTATTTATAAATACTTGCACCTTCTTGATGATGGTTTTTGTAGTTCTCCAAGTTTCAGCTCCGTACAGTAGAACTGCCTTGACGTTCGTATTGAAGATTCTCACTTTGATATTGGTTGAAAGTTGTTTTGAGTTCCATATGTTCTTCAACTGTAGGAATGCTGTCCTTGCTTTGCCAATCCTCGACTTTACGTCTGCATCCGATCCTCCCTGTTCATCGATGATGCTTCCCAAGTATGTGAAGGATTCTACATCTTCAAGAGTTCCTCCAGCACATGTGACTGGATTGCTATTCTCCGTGTTGTATTTTAGGATCTTTCTTTTTCCTTTGTGTATATTGAGGCCTACTGATGCCAAGGCTGCTGCTACACTAGTTATCTTCATCCGCATTTATTCTTGTGTATGGGATAGGAGGGCTAGGTCATTTGCGAAGTCCAAATCGTCTAATTGATTCTGAGCTGTCCATTGTATTCCGCGTTTTGCCTCAGATGTCGAGGTCTTCATAATCCAGTCGACCACCAGAAGAAAGAGGAAGGGAGAGAGTAGACAGCCTTGTTTGACTCCGGTCCTTACTTGGAATGCATCTGTCAGCTGGCCTCCATGCACGACCTTGCACTGTAGTCCGTCGTATGAGTTCCGGATAATGTTGACAATCTCAGGAACTCCGTAGTGTCGAAGAATTTTCCATAATGTTCTCCCATCCACACTGTCAAACGTCTTCTTGCAGTCAATGAAGTTGATGTACAGTAACGAGTTCCACTCAACTAACTGTTCGACGATGATCCATAGTTTCGCAATTTGGTCTGTGTACGACCGATCCTTACGGAATCCAGTCTGTTTATCTCGAAATTAAGCGTCCACTGCGTCTTTCATGCGGTTCAGCAACACTCTGTCAAAGACTTTCCCTGGTGCTGACAGTAGTGTGACACCTCTGTAGTTCTCGCGTTTACACTTAAACATGATCGATTGTAGCCTCTCGTAAAACTGATCTTCATTGCTATCATTGGTGGGTGCATAACAGATAATATTGATTGTAATTCATTCCTTCTTTGTTTTGAAAGATGGTTTGATGATCCTGGGTCCATAATATTCCCATTCTATAAGTTCATTTCATACTTCTTTGAACAGCATCAGAGAAACTCCCTGAGTGTGTCGAGCATTTTCCTTTTCGTGACGAGTACAGCAGCATCTCTCCCGTACCTAACCTTCACTGTTCAGCTTGGGTCTAATGGGTTTCGCTGATTCCGAGTACTGCCACTTTGTATCTCCTCATTTCCGTTGCTATTTGACTGGTCTTCCCGATCTCCCACATTATCCGGAAGTTCCATGTACCCATAAAAATTGTTGCTCTGGTTGTTAGATGAGGCTTCGGCCTCGTGACTTCTGAAGGAACTCGACTTCCACCATGAGGCATCATAACTGTTCCAAATGAGGACCCTCTAACTCCCAGAGCAGAGTTTAAATGGTTTGCTTCGTTTAATGTGATTTACGTTTTTTAGCAAGGTTTTTTCTACGGGATGGGGTTGCCGACCTCATGCCCAACCCTCTCCTTTACCCTGGCTTGGGACCGGCAGTAACCCTAGAAGAGCTACAGGCTGAGTTTGTTCACCCTACCTGTTTTTATACTTTTTGTTTTGCAATAAGTAGATGATTTATTGGTCATTCAATGTGGCAAGAATTTTTTTAAAATTTACAGTACTGATTGTTTACTTAGTTAGTGATAAATTTTTCGAATTTCTAGGGTAGAACTGTGTGTCTTGAGCTTAAACTAAGCCAGAGTGTGAAAAAGGACATATACCAATAGGATTGATTGGTTTCTTCAGACCATATCATGGATTGACTGAAACCTAAAAAATCTGAAGAATGGGATCATTACACGAAGTTACATTTTATTTTGTTATCGATTTTCTTACGTTTCAAAACAAAAGAGATGAAGCTATTCACTGTTGACTGTTCGATGCATCCATTTCAATCGTATTACGTAAAAGCGATCAAATGTTAAATATTAATCGATCAGTCATAAACAACGTAATACATGTCACTTATATACATCAGTTCAAGATGTTACACCAAATCGGTATAACAAAATCAAATTATCAAGACAAATCTCGGAGTTGTAGAGGTAGTAACAGTGTTAATAATGGTAGTAAAGACCAGGTTTAGGTAATGTAATTCTTGAAGAAAGAATGAATTCACGAAATAAAAAGTTTAGGTATCTCAAGATAAATACTGAATGGATGTCATCAAACGTCTCCAATCGTTGGTTACAACAATCACATGAACCTTAACAATGTTGGATACTAGATGATATGATTATTGAGAGTAAATGATCATATCATTATGTAATCATCGTGTACACATAAAAGTGTTTATTTGTTTGAGGTATTTTATAGACTGTATAATTTCATAACTTCAACAACTAAATGATCAAGTGACCATTGATAGTAGGGAAAAAGTTAAACAGCAGTTTCGTCCTAATTGTGAACTCTTCATCAGTGTGTACATTTGACATTGGGTAGCATCTTATTTTACTTTTAGCACGATATTATTTAGTCAGTATCCAGTAATCCATATTTTAGGCTAGAACCAATTTACTATATAGCATCTGTTCTCGATCAATATCATAGATATGTTACTGTCTTACTTCTAATCTGAAAACTTATAACTCTCGGAAAGTACTCCTTCGTAATTCTAGTCACACTAGTAAGCATGCGATTATCACTTGAGTGGTTTATAAGAAATTGTATAGTTCAAATATAGTTTTCATCACAAACTGTTGATGACATGTATTAAGACAAACCAGCTGTTCAATGCTTCGTGCTACTTCAGTTGACAGTATATGATGAATAATGACTTCTTTTAGTTAAAATCCAAACTAGAATTTACTTTTAACAAACGTTTTAAAGTCGAAACCAACAGGTATATATCGTAAAATGAAGAAATGTTGTCTAAGCCTATTGATCTGTTGGTTCATAGAAAGTTTAGAGAAGGAAAAATATTACAAGAAGTAATTTTCTGAACTTTACCCTTCTGGTAAATGAACTACATACTCTTAACTTCTGGTTAAAGAGCTACTTAATAAAAGCGATGAGATATATCAGATTTTTTAATGCACCGATAAAATCTATATTAGTACAGAACACATTAAACCATCCACAACAAAACGTCGGGAGTAAAACAGTCAAAACCAATGACATAAAATGATCTTTGCACAATATCATAATTTGATTGGAATCGTAGCTGTACCATTGCATACAGACCCAGTAACTGTGCAGGTTCAGAGTTCTCAGGTATGTTTGACGAACCTGTGTTCATTCATTGGTGGGGTGGTAGGTGAACACTGACTAGGGAGAAACAACTGTTTAATAACGTCTGCTTCCATATGGTGCACTAACTGAGACCAGTCTTCGAAGAACATAACATAAATTTCTGATGAAATTTTAGTAGGGAGGATCTCTAAATTAGACTTGTGGAAATATAAATTTCCAGAAATTTATTAATAAGACATAAGTAAAATTACAGAATCACATTTATCCACAGTACACAAAAGGCTCATTGTTAAAAACTTCTGGAAATATTCTGT